ACACAAGTTTGAGTGATATCTGATCCCATCTATACACCGCTCATTGTCTACAACGCTGATCACACAGCCTTCATTAATGATGTTAAATGTCAAGGCTATGGGATAGCTTAAAGGTGATAACATTTCTACATTATCTCCTCATGATTATAGAGGAATTAACAGAACTGAGTAGCAGTGCTGCTTTTAAAATATGGTTTGCTCATTAGAGGCTCTGAAGTGTTTCCAAAAACCATTACAGACATCTTCCCTTGATGAACTATGAGCTTTGCTTGAAGATAATTACAGCATGACAATTCAGTAACCGTAATGGGTGAAAACATTCATAGACATATTACAGCATAAATCCTATATTTGGGAAAATATAAGCCTGGTCACGCTTCATCCTTAGAAGATAGTTGTAGATCCTCACTGTATGGTTTGTACAAAGTTGAAATGTGGCCCAAACCCTTAAAACAACAAACTGGCACAGTGTCACCAGATCCTTGTTTGGATTAATTATGTATGGCAGAATGAAGAACCTTAATGTCTATAGTGAACGTAATTGCTGTGAAACTTAATGGCGGAATTTTGACACCATAAATATTTAAAGTTGCATTCTGTAGGGCTGAATCCTTTTCTTCTTAGGATTAGCTCAAACAAATCTAATATAAAAAGATAACATTTTGAAAAAAACAAGAAGAAAATAAGCCATAAACATATATATTAAAGAAAATACTAAGTATAATATCAAACCTATCAGCATTTACCACAGTATCACTCATTTCTTTTGTGCAGCCTACTGCCACTTTTACATTTCCATCCTTCCAGTCTTGAAACCAGCAGGTTACAGCTATGTCCTACCAACAAAAGCTGTTCCCAAAAGTGTCACTTACATTATTCATCTATTAGATAAACAGTATTTAAAGCTTTCATCCTTGAGTGAGAGGAGAAAATCAAGCTCCACTTTTACTTTAGACCTGAAAAACTCCACAGGTGTTTCTGTCCATTCTTCTCCAAGCTGAAAGCAGGTTTCAAAACACTGTTCCTGAGAAAAAGAAATAGACGAGAAGAAAATTTGCACTAGAAGGCTGAAACTGGACATCTGAGATGTGGAATAAGGTGCAATGGACTGATGATTCTGAATTTGTGATTTGGGATTGCTTGGATCATGTGAAACAGTAAATGCAACCAACTTCTAAGACTGAACTTCGGAAGTGTGGAAAATTATGCCAGCAGATTGAATTGAGAAACTGAAAACGAGTTTCCCAATAAGAGTAAGAGCTGTAATTAAGGCAAAGGGTGGACACCCTGAATACTAAACAAGTTATATATTTTGTATATATTTCTTTTTTTTCCTGATGTTCAAAAATGAATAAGTTGTAGGCTACTTAATGGCCATTTTGAATAGAAACTATAGAGGAAATACACAAAATAAAACGAAAGTGCCTAGTACTGTATATGTGATGTAGTTGTACCATATATATGGCACTGCTGTAGTCTGCTTCAAAATAGAGCAGAGTATTACTTGTAATTCCCCAAAATGAAAAAGCTTAGTCCTTTTTTTTAACATTTCCAGAGGATTTCAGCTTTCAGCACTTAGCTTCTACATCTCTGTAGTGTCCAGGCGTTTAACAGAGCTTTCTCCGGCACTGAGCGGACCTATTAGAGTCTGACGCAGCTAATGTGCTCCAACAGGAGCTGGTTATATTTAGTCAGACAGCCAGCGTACTGCTAATGAAGAGAGAGGGGTGAGGTAGCTGTTAACGTGTATGCAGGAGTCTGCAAGCCTGGGCTACCGGCAGCAGAGATACAAGATTTGCATTTGCAGCAGCAGGAATCTTTTGATCTGCCCACTTATTGCACGTCAGGTGTCCTCCCTGAAGGACAAAGAGAGAGACAGAGAGAGATAAGGGTGAAAGAAAGGCTCTAAAAGCCCTACCAGATAGTCCGCATTGTAAATATTATCTTTTTAAAAGCTAGCACGGCTTATTCATTCTTTGCTTCCAGGCAGTTGTTCCTGTCCTGAGGCGACACTCATTTAGGTCAACTTTATAAAGACAGTCAGTGCACAGTATGCATGTATGTTTACATGTTTATATATGAACGTCCCGGATAAGGTTACCAGATAAGATAATCAGGTTAAATAATTAATACAGCCAGATAGTAAGTCATCTGTAAGAACATGTATACTGAGAATATGTAATGTAGGGGTGGGGGGTTCCCAATTATGCTGATGAACAGTGTCTAATCTCTGATATTCATTTGATTATGTTTGATAAACTTATTTAGTTATTGTGCATAAGATTACAGGATAAACTCATGAGAGTCTTTTTAATAATATTTACCAATTGAGATGCTGTCATTGTCTTGCTTTAGCATTACAGTGCTAAGCAATGCATATACAATAAGCTTTAAATACAGCTGTGAATTATGTTAGTTATTGCTTTTTAGAAAAGGTCTCTGAGGTAACCTGCTTTCCTGTAACTTGCATGTAGCTGCTCTCCATGCTAAACGCTCCAGGCTATCATAGTAATCATGTAGTCTAAAAAAGACTAGCTGCATCACATTTGTTTCTGTTGTTTGGATGATGTTTTTATATATTTAAGAGTATGTCTAAAATTTATGACACTGTCTAGATCACTGCACTGAAAGGGACACTGGTATTATATGAGTGGGTGCTTGATACATTCCAAATCCACTTCATCACACTGGGATGATGTAGATTCATCAACGGATTTTGCTGCTAAATCAACAAAGAATCCAAGTGCCTGCTGGAGAGAAGAATAGCACTTCAGTGGGGTTACGGGTTGTTTTAATGTATGCGTTTGAGACACAGCAACCTCAATCATCTCTGCAATCACATCAGTCTCTTTGGTTATTAAGCACCAGAGGTTGATTTATAATGTAATCTAAGTTCCTATCATACTTTATGGACAAATGTGTCTATGCTTCATAACGCGCCACTCAGCAATTCTGCAAGAGGAGAATATAGCTGTTCCTGTCTTGTTCCGGGCACCTAAACACTTTATGAGCCTCCTGGGCTCCAGATATCTCCTCATCAGGGGCGACAGGCAGGAGGGGCTTTTTGCTAATGGATTCCTTCGTCTCTAAAGGGGCGCTGCGAGAGAGCTGAGCGGATGAACAATAGGGGCTGGATTGGACTCAGAACAGAAGTAGACAAAAGGGGAACATTAATGTCAAAGGGGACAGATTCATGGTGCTCTTTTGTACTATTTTCTCTTTGTTTCATCTTCATGCGGGGCTGAGCCTGCAGCGCTCTGACGTAGCCAGGGCAGCTGTGTGCAGCCGCTGGGTCATGGCTGCACCCACAGAAAAAAAAGCCCAGGACAGGTCATAACCTTTGACTTATCTCTCCGCTTTACTGCTTCTATCACCAGTCACACTCATCACCCACCAGCATGGCTTACATCACTCCCTCGCTGACTACCAGACATATTCAGAACGCTGTCTCTCAAAGCACTGCTGAACTTAGTAGTGTGAAAGCCTTAGTCGCTACTGGCTTGCGCAACCGTAGGAACACAGGAGGCATGGCTGTGCAGAGTAGCCACACGCACAGGCTCTCGGGAGCACCACGCTCGCAGTAGGAGAGACTTTAATGTGTAAATTAGTGTGCAAAGTTGTTGTTGTTAGCGTGATGATGTAAACGTGTTATTTGTGCTATTCTGTGCTGGGCTGTAGTGTAGTAGTGTCAGTGTTTCTGCCTACAGATAAGTAGAAGTGTATGGCTAGAGGTGACCTGCCTGCGATCTTGGCTGTTTCAGCAGCACTGAGTGATGGATTTCCCTTGCTACCTTTTTAATAAAAGAGCATTTGCCTTTAAAGCCCAACGTTTCCTGCATTTTCCTCTTCGCTGACCCCACAGTATGTTTGTATATGCATGGTACAAAGAAAAGCTTCATAGAAATGTTTCACTTTGCTAGTAATGCTGCATCACTTCTGCGCAGTAGCAGCCATGCATGTTCAAGGGGCAGATTTTGCCGCTTCTCTTGAGAGGTTTGCCACTAGAATCATGTACAGAATAAATTTGGGTAATGTGTTTCACTCACAAAACCTGAAAACTCAATTAAAAAACAAAATGAAACAATTAGTTTTGCTGTTTGTAATCAAGATCATCAAGATCAAGATCATCATTTTCCTGGTGATGAATCAGTTTCTGTTCACAACAGTGCCCTCCCTGTAATTTTGCAGGAATTGTACTCATCCAGGTTAATTGTTGCATCAGTCTTACTGGGATTTTGCCTCTGGCTTGTGTTCACACTTAATCCCTTCCTGTTTAATTCCCATTAAATTCCCACGTAAAAGTGTGTGTGTGTGAAAGCAAATATTTTGATTTTTAGAATCGAGAGAACACTATTGTGTGGAATTGGATGCTTCATCGATTTCTATCGCTTGGAGTTGGAATCAGAGTTTACTCCAGAATTTCTGAAATTGAACTGCCCTAATCAGCACCTGCCTGCATGATGCATGAACTCAAATCTTGCAGCAAAGAGAATCTGCACTGCTTTTGTTCTAAAACATCACTTGTTTTTGGGATGGTTTATAAAAATGTATAATTTTGTATAAAGTTGTGCTCATTAAAGTTATATTTTTTGTATAAAGTTGTGTTTAGTTTTTCCTTTGGGTAACAAATAGGGAAGCAAAGATGTATACTTGTTCACCCTGCAGATAAAAAGTGAGGGTGCAGATCCACTTGCTGCAATGTGCCTATGATTGATTCCTTTTAAGTACTGATTATAAAGTGATGAAGTAAAAGTGCTGGTTTCATTTTATTTAACTGTTTCCTCTCCTGCTCTTCTCCTCTCCTCTACCGTCCTACTCAGATATCTAGACTCGTGTTCATTAGTGGACTCATTGCAATTAAAGCAGCAGATGGGGGTTATAAGAGAGATAAATTAATTAGGGAGGACTGAGCAGGATGGAGTGAGGTTTGAAGGAACGACAGATGTCTTTATTCCTCTCTTCTCACTCTCTTTCTCTCTCTCGCTTTTCTTTCTTTCCAGGTTCAGAGTTTCTCTGCAATACACACATCATCCCAGTGAAGAACGAGGAGGGCGTGGTGATGATGTTCATTCTGAACTTTGACTACGTGCTGGAGGAGGGGAGCAGTGATTCGCTGCAGAGACTCAACATTACTCCTCCTGCCAAAACAGAGTACAGTGAGTTCAGCTTCATTTATCATTTCAGGCTTTTTCATACCTTTAACCAAACTGTTTTCATACTTCTACTTGAGCTTTTAACTAATGGGGCCAGAGTGTATTTAAATGGAATTCTGAAATTAGGTCTATGAAGTCCAGTCCCTTGAACCCTAGGATCATTCTGCTATTAATCTTTAGACATCGTTTTCATGAACTACTAAGAATTATTGGTAAGTAATGGAATATTACAAATCCATTGTTTCACTCTCAATATTTTAATTTCCTTTTTTGAATTCTAACTCTAATGTAGCCAATCAGAACAGGCCTAATATAATAAAATAGCAGGGTTAAAAAGCTTTTAGACCCGGCGGTTGTTTGCATAGATAAGGACGTGTCAGCACACACACACACACAGGTAATAGAATAGGTGTAAGCTGTTCCTATATATAGCTATGAAATAATTTACTGAAGCCTATGATAATTTCCTGAAGGCTGGTGTGCTCAAAATAAGCCCAAATGCAACATTACACATAGTCAACAGAGTTAGCAAATTCTCTTTTTGGAAATGCATAGACATGCTACATGGCTAAATGGTTTCTCACATCACAAAAGGTGATACAAACAAAATCATGTGAGAGTACAGAAAAAGCACATTCAGACATCCAGACCTATTCTCTATTCATAGGTGGCAATTATTAAGTAAATCTATAATTTAAGCAAAAAATACTGTATTTATGCCAAATAATCTTAACAAAATAAATACAGAATTGAAATATACCAAAAATATTCACAGAATGAATGAAATCATATAAGACATTATTCTGATCCAAGAACATTTGGGAGATTGGAAGTTAAGTACAAATAATAAGCTAGTGGTCAACGGGGGAAAAAGGTTATTAACCCTTTTAAAACATGTATCAGTGATCTATTCTAATGCATTCCTCCACGTTTAACTCAAATAAATGTTTTGCCAGAGGAGCTACAAAGCGTGCAAGCATGAGGCTTCCTTTGCTGTTGAATGCATTGTGATTTTTTTTAACAAACGTACAACCTCATTCAGAGCATAAATCATATCTGGTAAGCACTAATTATTGTTTTGTTTAATCAGAACGATGAAACACTTCTTATGTGTGACTATTCCTATTAATGTGTTTTCTTGTTTAAAAAGAGAGTTTGTGACAGAAATTAAAGAAACAGATTTTCTGCAATGTTCTCTGCACATCAAATAAATGCAACAGCACTGAGACATCACCTGATTAACAGAGAAAACCAGATTGAACAGCAGAAATAGCCACGTCGGCCGTAAAGAGTTAACTAAAAAGAGACAGTTCTGTTCCAGAACAATAAGGCATGATTACGTTTTGCATTTTTGTTCTTAGCTAAATACCGATTTTTGTTTTCATTCCTCAAACTAGTTCGTCAACTGTAACTAATGTAACTAATCAGATGAGAGTAAGGAACTGAAGAGCAATTTGGGGTTTGAAGGGTTACGTACACTCTGAAAAATGATGCGTCAGTTAACCGCACCTTTTTGTATTATGTATTTTAACACATTTTTGTCATATTGTGTTAGGTATGTGTTAAAAGTAACACAAAATGTGTTGTCCTTAGCTGGATATACAGATGTGTTAAAAAGAAGGTGTTTTTAACACATCTGTTTTAAGAATGGAAAACTGTCCTCACTTATCAGTATGAGATGATTTAGCCCATTAGTGTAGTGTATATGGTGCAGTGTATATAAGGACTTTGTCACACTCAGGGTGCCTGAGGTTAAAGGATTAGACATCAGAAGACAATGTTACCACAGCAAGAGTGGCTTTGCTTTTGTCCAGCACTTTACAGTGCTAATAGGCTTAGTGAACACTCTGCTGACACCGCATTCTACCCTAATTGTGCCATTATCTTTTTTGTAGCCTCAGCCTCAACCAATCTTTATTAAGATGTCACCCAGTAATGTGCAGAAGGGTGCTTTCGCTTGGACCATAGGTGTGTTCCCTGGCGAGTCCTTCACAGCTGAATCACTCTCTCGTGTTAATGCAGCTGTTATGCCGGGGCCTGTCAGGCGCTCCCTTGGGTCAGAACCTGCTGGATGGGGCTCACTGAGCCGGTGTAAAGCACAGGCAGCGTGGCCCAGTGTACTGCGGCACAACAGGAGGTCAGCGCTGGAGCGTGCTAATTGGACAGGAGGCTTTCAGAGAGGCTGCACAGGGAGAGACAGGGACAGAGCTGTCATCCTCCCCTCCTTGCTCAATACACAAGCAATTGCAGAATTGGCTTCAGTACTAATAAAGGATTAGGCATGCTCATCTGCGTGAGGAGAATTAGTTGTCGTGCCAGAGAACAAGATTAACTCAGATGATGTATTCTTTTTGTTTCCCCAGTGAACATACTGTAAGTCACCTTGGCTGATCTTTCCGTTGCTCTGGGTGGGAAAGCGGAATTAAAGCACCGTGTCACAGTGTGTGCTCACAACCCAACCCAACCCAATCTAACGCCTAAATCACTACAAATCAATTGCTGTGTTTCCTTCTGCTTTGGCAATTTGGCATCTATAGGGATGCTGATCATAATGGTGTATGATAAATATCACGTATCTCAATGTCGCAAGATATAGTAGCTCTAAATATTTAACACGTTACATTATAGAGCGAAGGCAACACACACAGAAATAATTCCATTCTATAAATCTACTGCATAAAATATGAATGACCTAGCTAGAGAAGTGTGAGGACATGTGCCAGCAAGGGCACAGAAACGCAACACATGAGAATGGTGTGATTTTCCCAGGAGGGAACTGTTTATTAGCAGGTTCATTTTTGGAAGAGTGAAAGATCTCTGAAGTTCTTCGAGCCAAATATAAAAAAGAGTGAAAAATAAAGTAGTGTTTTGGCTCACCAAGGTTTGCTAGTGGTAGCAGAAGGGACTTGCTGTCTCTGATGGCAATCAGTATCATTTTTCTGGTGCGACTTTTGTCTCAGAGTCTGTGAAAAAGGAAGTGAGAGATGTCATTGCTCCCTCAATTTCACTTGCCTTTGGGGTGCGCTGGTTTTTGTCCCCTCTGAGGGAGGAAGACGAGAAACCGCAGCTGCTCCTGCTGATGAGGATCCAGCTGGTGCTGAATTCACAGCTTCGCCTTGGCACGTGCAGATCAGATGGCCAAAAAACGGGTGCTGAATTTGGGCCATGGGTGCAGTTTCTGGACCTGGGACAGTGGGTGTCAGACACAGTTTTTTTCCTTTGTGAGGAAAAAATTGGTGCTATACTGTATGTCCAAAGTATTCGGACACGCCTTGTAATTTGTGAATTCAGCTATTTTAAGGTGCACCCCGTGCTGACACAGGTGTTCCATTGTGCATACACAGCTTGTCTAATCTACACAGAAAAGTTGCCAGTAGAATGGGACATTCTGGAACAGCCACACATGAGCCAAGCCCAATGCCAAATGTCAGCTAGAGGGGTATAAAGCCCCCCAGCATTGGGCTGTGGAGCAGTGGAACTGTATAGTTTGGCATGACGGAGCTTTATCCAATATCTTTAGATTGATTTTAATGACGATTGTGATCCAGAACTAGTCATCCAACATCAGTACCTGAGCTCACTAATGCTCTTCTGGCTGACTGCAATCAAATCCTCACAGAAATGTTACAACATCTTGTGGAAAGCCTTCCCAAAGGAGTAGAGGCTCCAATATTTCGATAATTTATTTTTTTTAAAGTTATAATCATGCATAACATATGACAAAACTGCATTGTGGCACTGGTCCTGTGCCATGATATCAGCATATTTTTACATAATCTAACCTCATACTAATATTTCAGCAGTTGAAACTCACTGTTTATCCACAATTTACCTCCATCATCGGGCGAGTATAGTGTCCCCTGTTTCTGCTTCCTTATGAGAGCAGAGAGGACTGCAGTGAGGATGGGGAGAAGGATGATGTTGCATATCTTCGCAGCCTCAGGCTTTTTAACCGTTTATCATTGCTTTGCTCACAGTTGACTTCGTCATTTCTGGAATTCCACTCTCAGTGTGGCATGTTCTTTGGGGCAGTTGCTATTTTTAGCTCTGTGTGTGTGTGTGTGTGTGTGTATTTAATTCTGGGCAAAATCGCAGCAGGCTTCCCAAGCTGTAGTGCTCTTGGGTCTTTTTGGGAGTGAATGTCAACAAGGCATCATGACTGAGCCCTGATTGGAGGCGTTAAAGCAAGGCGTCAGTCTGCGCAAAGCACACCACAGCTATGCTTCACACTGCAGTGTGTTTTTGCTCACTGTGTATGTGTATGTGCATTTCTGCACGAACGTGTACAATTCTGTGTGAATTACCGTGAAAACACTTTCGTATCCGTTGGTTATTTTGTGTGTATGTGTGTATGTGTTACGGCCTAATTGATATGAAAGGTTTGTGAACAACAATAATAATGAGCCAAAAACTAAAACTCAAAAAAAAACTAAAAAAATGTGAAATGATTTAATATGGTCAACAGTGAACTGTCAAATATGATTTGGCACTTTTCCACAGGGCAGTGTGGTTCAATACAGTACAATTACAAATTCATGTGGTTTGTTGTCATTTCCCCTGCCAAGTTACATGTATTGAACATGTGTGAATGTAACAATGTTAATGTAACAATCCATTAAACTGTATTGATGTATCAACCAAACAGAAAACAATCTGATGTCATTGATGTGCCGCATAAACATTGATGCATTTTCACACCTTTTCCAACATTATCTGCATGATTCCTGTCTGTACACTTCTACACTGTAGGTAAAGGCATGCAGTGTAAGCTTGTTGCAGTTTGCCAAATAAAGCCTTGCTAGCGTGCTTGTGTTCACATTAAAGCAAAGATTAGATATAAGGTAAATATATCCTTTCTGATTAAAGCACTTAACCATGTAGCAGCAGTCTACCAATTGTCCGAGTAGTAGCAGGCAAGAATATTAATTTTTACTCTTTCCTGCTGATAACACATCACAGGTGTAGAAACATTTAGAAAAAGTAACAGATAGACAAGACCTTTG